ATAAAAAATTCATTGACCTTAAATCTTTCTCTTGTTGGTTTAGTTTCAACTTTCAATTTGAGGCACTTCCGAACCATTATCTGTTGTTATTGTGTATTCCAATATGGGCTTGTTTATTTTATCGATAGATAAAAAAATATCAATATTGACAGAGTTATCAAAATTTTAATTTACGAATAATGTCAATGAAAATGTCAATATCGACGAATATTAAAAACAAATGATATTTTGAGCATATCATAGAATTTTTTGTTGAAAATTTATAGATGTTAAAAAACAATCTATATTGTTTAATTTGAACTAATTTAATAACACAAATTATAATAGGAAATAATCATAAACATATGTGGATTATAATTCTAATATTATTTTATATACTCATTACAAACAAGATACAATAATTTAATAAGTATATAAAAGTTCATTGCCAAAATGTAGTAGAATACATACAAAGTTCAAATCTTTTTATTATAAAACGAGTTTCTAGCATGTTGAAAGTAGGTTTCTATCTTGATCTAAACACTGCCACTAGAATAGAATGACATTTGTTAAAGAGCAAGTACTTCTAATGTTTGGTTAGTAGAAACAACAAATATTCTTACCCAAAAGCGATTCGCCCAAAATGCATGAATATGTATTACATAAAATAAACCAATGAATAATTATTTTACTATTTCAAGAACTAACAAAACATAACAATTATAATCCGGTACCAACTCTAAAGTTCAACCAAATGTTCGAATTGGAATAAATTACTCCATTTTATTCCTATTATGATTCCATCATATTATATTCTTATTCACATTCTACTTTTTCCGGTTAATTAATTTCTGTTAGAGAAAACAGGCTTTATGTGGCACCACAAAAAAGAATATCTCCACTGAAATGCATTATTGGAGTTCCCACATATGGTTTGTAATAACTGGTTGTTCACTTTTCATTTTAAGCTTCCACAATAATTAAGTCCAATAAAATTTAACTAATTTTTGTGGGAACATATATATCCTCACTAGGATAAATGTATGCAACATGATTGATGACCATGTGGCACCAAAGAAAAATCCAAGGATGTTTTTTAATACATTCCTCTATTCAGTCCATCTTTTTGATGGCATCTATCAAGTCTATCATGGAGAAGTCTACTTTCTGTAGCATTCAAGGATTTCTCTTCCTCTCTCTCTCTCTAGAAATTGATTTAGTTTCTCTTTCCTTTCGTTTGCAACTTTCTCTTTATTGTCGGTTGTGCGACTGAATTATTTACTTTTAACTTTGGAATCAGGCCAGAGAACCGTTTGCAATGGCAGCTGAAAAACCCACCGTCTACAACAGCGATGAAGTCAGAAAAATTTCTGAGAGAGGTTGGGTGGTACGGGTATGTCTAACTTAGACCGTTAGAAGCACCAGTTTGTATTTGAGATAATATACTTAATACTAAGAGAGAGGAGTAGATTATGAATTATGTGGACCGAAATAGTTAGAAAAAACATTCTAGATCTAAGCCTTCAGAAAAGTCTAATTTCGAACAGATCAGGAAAGTCTAAGTTATGATTAAAGCTTGTTGTTGTTGTTATAAAATTTTAAAAAAAAATTATTGTTAAGTTACTATATGAAAAATTGTGTTGGGTGATATTTTTTAATCACGTCATTTTATAAGTGACCGAACTTTTTTTATTTTACGAAAATAACCGTTTTATTTATATGAGTCAATCATGATTGATCGATTTATTATTAATTTATCAATGATTTATCATTAATAAACATGTAATTTGTTGGTTGAAATTGAATAATTACTAATTGATTTTGGTTAAATGTTTATTACTAATAAAGAATAATCGAGTTAATCAGTGATTGACCGTTGAGTCAATTAGTGATTAATCACTGAGTCAATTAGTGATTAATCACTAAATTAATAAAAACACCCATTTTTACAATTTTACAAAACTTCGACCATTTATAAAAATCCTTAAAAAAAACCATTTGTGCTTAAGGCCTTTACTATAAATTGTCCAAAATGAGATTTCATGTTTTAAAAAAGTATTGCTTAATGACCATATTATTATGGTTATTGAAGATATTCTTGATGTACATAAGTAATATATTATTAATCAATTGATCTTCAATTCAATTGCAAAGCTAATTCTTCACAATATTTATAGCAAAAAATATTCTCTCTACAGTAGTGGTAATAAGAAGTAGAATTAATACTAATGTTAAAATATATAAACTAATAGATATGTATTATTTATATTTAGTTAGTTATAAAAAACTTCTTAAGTTGAGATTAGTAGTATTTTGAAGATATTTTTTAAGAAAATGGTATTTTTTTAAAAAAAAAATAGAGGTTTAAAGATTAGATTTTCAATGTTTTGGAGGGGTTATATCTAATTTTTTATAAAGATACCAATAGAAATATGTAGTTTAAAAAACAAATTTAAAAAGTTGAAAGCGTAAGCCTTAGTTGGCTTTGTCAATGATTTACTACTTTTTCCAGTCATTGCCACTTAATAGTCCACAATGACTTTTGTTCTGCTGCAAATTTATTAGGGATTTTTTTTAAGCTTCTTACCGTTTGAACCGTAGGCATATTTTAAAACGTTAAATTTAAATTAAATTATAACAAAATAAAAAACGCATGTAAAACTAAGGGTGACAATTAGTATTAGTGAGTCGTATTTATGTCAATCCGTTTATTAATCGCGTCAAAAAAAATTAACCCAAACACGACATTTTTTAACGTGTCAAAAATATCAACCCAAACACGATCTATTTATTAATCGTGTCAACCTGTATAACCCGTTTAAATTAATATATTGAATAATATTTATTAATCGCGTAAAAAAAAATTAACCCAAACACGACATATTTTTTAACGTGTCAAAAATACCAATCCAAACACGATCTATTTATTAATCGTGTCAATCTGTATAACCCGTTTAAATTAATATATTGAATAAATAACTAATATAATAATGACTTATTTAACACGGTTAAGACATGTTTAACATGTTTATTAGTCAATTTAGATTTTCTTTTAAGAAAAATAAATAAATTTTACCTACAAATATTAAAATTCACATTATTTGTATTTAATATGTCATATAAATTTTCATATTATATCACATATTATTATATTGCAGATGACAAATATAGTTAATCATATCAATTCGTGTTAAGAGGTCAATCCTAACCCAATCTATTTATAAATCGTGTTAATCATGCCAACCAGTTTATAACCCAAACCCATTTATAGTAAACTCAAACCCGTTAATTTCGTGCAGATTTTAAATCGTGTTGTTGTGTCGTTACCGGATTACCAGTGCTATGTAAAACTAACAAAACCTAATATTATGTTGTCGTGTCGTTACCGGATTACCAGTGCTATGTAAAACTAACAAAACCTAATATAAACCCAATGCTTGGAAACAATATTGTAGAATTCTGTTCAGATTCTTCAAAAGCTATTTTCCTTTTGCAGCAAATGGGTAGTGATTGTGTCTCCAATAGAAAACCCATGTCATAAGCAAAGAGTTGACTTAGAAATGCCATGCTTTATGGCTTTTAATTTGGACACTTGTGAGAGTATCATAAAGGCCTAAAGGGCCAAAAAACTTCAAAGTGCACTTTGTGGTTGTAGTAAAAGAACGATGATAATGATTACCCATCTACTTGGAGAATCAAGATAAAGTCCACTGTTTTCACTCTTATAGAAAGCAAAAATAGTGGTCGTAGTACAATGTCTTTTATTTTGTCTTGGTGCTCATTTGGATTCTTACATGAGCGTCAATAGGTCAAAGATATTTAAGCTTATGGCCTATTGAGAGTTTTCTCTTTGTTGGTTGTGACATGTGCAAGTCTATTTGTTTCTCTGCGTTTTTAGAAATCTAGTACAAGAACCTTATCTTATGAAAACCGACTGAAGCATTATCCATTCAAACTTGTTTGGAAACATCTATATGTTTCTTTCGTTTTTATTTGATTAAAATCAGAAGAAGGCAAAATTTATTTGAGTACTTGAATGTAATGTGGCAACTACTTGAGTTAGTAAAATCACTTGAGGGTCAAATCCAAAGACCTGAAATCAAATCCTGCCTTCATTTGAGTGTGGAAGGATTATGGTGAGAAGAGGGTTACCTCCCATTTTGTGCAATTTACAAATTGAAAAAGAAAGTATCCTATTTTTGTAAAAAGAATATCAGTTGTGGTGGGGTTTTGAACATAAACATAGACACTACAATCAATGGCGGAGCCATAAAGTTTTTTTCAGGAGGCGTAAATTAAACCAAAATTTATTACTAAAATAACATTAACTATTTTAATCAAATTTAGTTCAATTTTTTGAAGTTTACAGTTCACAAAATTTATGGATTCATCTAAGATTATGGTTGATTTTTTGGTATAATTGATAGTTTAAAATTGACATATAAGTACATCAGAATTTAAAAGTTAAAATTTGAAGGTATAATTGAAAATTTTCTAAAAACTTTAATGTAAATATTGCAAATTAAAAATTTGAACATTTTCTAAAAGCTTTAATGTAAATATTGCAAATTAAAGATTTTAAGGTGGGCAAAAAAAGTACAAAGTTGCTAAAAAAAGTAATGTTGGGCTTAACCGGCATATACTATAAAAGAGTCGCTTGGACCAATAGGGGCCAACTGCCCCCATTGGGCCCAACGTGGCTGCGCCACTCATTATAATTCCTTAAGAATCAAATAAGCTCAGGCATAGTTTGGATTCCAACAGGCTGTAATTATCTAGCACCCAGCAAAGAAGAAAATAATTACATTAGATTAAAGAAAAGCCAGGGCCACTCCTTAAATTAGATGCACTTTCTTAGCAATTGGTCCGAAGTAACAATGAAAGCCCATTCATGTATAGTCCCAGAGGGCAACAAATCATCTGGTTATGCAATATGAATGTAATAATAACAATGAAAGCCCATTCATGTATAGTCCCAGAGTGCAACAAATCATCTGGTTATGCAATATGAATGTAATAACTAGTAGAAAGTGGCAATTTATTCACTTAGGTTGAACACTAACAAACCATAGAGCCAAAATAGTAGCATTATCACATTTCTTCTAGTAGTCTTTTATCGCTCAGAAGTCAAAGCGCACATATTACAGAAAGTAGGTAACAAAAGTGGAATAAAAGAAGAATACTCATTTACAGTCAGCATCCAGAAGCTGTTTAGTCGTCGTCTTTCCGGTCCTCGTTAATCTCATAGAGAATCACCACTAGTGCAACGATGAAGGAGTAGTCGACATGGGGGTACACTGTTACAGCGAAGGTGTCCTTTCCAAGCACAAGGCTTTGAACATTGTGTTTCTTGTGCATCTGGGACATTGTTAAGAATTCTTATCAAGTGTTAGAACCGAAAACTTACCAAAACTAAATACAAGTGCTAAGTAGTACTGCTCAACCACATTTGGTAATCTTTGTCATCAGATAATACAAAACACATATTTACGCTTTTGAATAGAAAAAGAGTAAAGGACTCTATGGTCTTACTTGTGCAATGATAGTGGAGCTGTTTCCGAGATATATGGTGCATGATCTCTCAAACCAACTCCCTTTGACCTTGAAATCAGGCACATCTTCTTTTGTGTTTGCAGCTAAGAACACGTCTAATTGGGTCTTAAGTTGAAGAAGGGAGGATTTCTTGGCACTGAAAAGAAGATCTTTGGAGTTTGAGCTATCTCCTCGGTACACTTCCCATCTCCTATGCGCTGTTAATATCTGAATAACACGGAAACAGTTACGTTCTACATACATAAGGTGTGTAAATGAGGCAGTTTACATATACAGTCTAGAAGAATATGTAGGCAATTGCAGAACACAAAAAGAAGGCCAAAGGTAATCTATGATCTCTTGACCGTTAGATGCTTGTGCATGTACAAATGCAGCACAGAAAGGGAACCCTGTGGTTGCCGGTTGTTGTTGTAGTTTTTTCATTTTTATTTTTATTTTTTTATTGTCAAGAGTCAAAATTTAAATGAAGAACAATGCTGTTTATCACAATTGAGGATGAAATACCACATATCTTTTGGACATTGTCACATCACAAATGAAATGAGTCGTATACATTCACATACTAGTGCTAGCATACCGGTGATGAATAACATTGCCACTGAACCATTTTACGATTGGCTGAATAGCAATTCGATTAGCATTTGGTACTGCTAACCGCAGTTCTTGCGATATGTTTGGCTCCAAATGGTATTGGTCATAAGTATATCTTCCAACATTTGATAGATATTAAGTTTTGACACTGAGTAATCCCAAAATTCAACATATCCACTGTATTTTTCATACCGTAAATTAATTAATTTTTTAAAAAAACAAAGCCGTTGTAAGAGCAGTCGCTTCAATATGGTATGATAAAAGAATTATTGAATTACCTTTTCCTCCCCTGTTTCACTTAGAAGATAACAGAAATTAAATTGTTTATAATGCTTTTTATTCATCCAAAATCAACACATATTTTGATCTAATACCATCTCCAATGTAAATGCTAATGCCAATTGTATATTTAACATAAAAAAGTATGATATAGTATGTTATTTTTATTTTTGCTTCAATACATAATGTTATTTGAAATGCTAAATCTACTTTTTCCTATAATCATTAAGCTTCCAAAGTTGTAAAAGTAAACTTTTTATTTTTAAAATAATTAGAAAATGCAAAATTGCATTGATTATATAGAAAAAGTAAGCATTTCAACCAATAATAATAAAATGCCAAATTTTTCATATGCTATACTTGGTGAGAAATTTGTCACAAGTATAGCATATGGAAAATTTGGCACAACAAATAGCATTGCATTGGAGAGTATTTTTTGCACTCAAATGTTAAATTTACAATTGGTACATTAATTATAGCATTACATTGGAGATTAAGATGAACGCCTAATTTAACCAGACAACATTTCATATTTCAATGCCACAATTGAGCTACGACGAATACTATTGGAACCGAGACTCAAAACATTTTTTCTATGATCATGACAGTGGCAACATGGAGTTGGGAGCTGGTAGTATAATGGATTTAGTATTTTCCCTCTTTTATTGCTAATTAAAACTTCATTTTGGCAAGTGTTTCGAAATTTTTTAAACTTCAGACACGCTTATACAGCATAATTTTCTCTGCTTTCGTTTTCTCTGCCTTACTTAAAATTATCTTCTAACCATAATTTTGCATATATTTATAGCAATAGCATAATGGTTAATAATAGCATACTGGACCAACAGAATTATCTTCGATAACTTGCTTTCATGAAATTATTTGACACCTTGGCATCTCTAAGTTATCGTAACCTTGCAACAGAATTCATTAATTCTTTATTTTTCACTTATAAATTAAAAAAAAAAAAAAAACTGAACCAGAAAAAGGAAAATTTTCCTAAACTACTTTTCTGGACCACGTTTGTATATAATACTCAACAAATTTAGAAGTACTTTCTTTCTTAATTCTCAGATCGGATCAGAAATTACCTTTTTCTTGTTTATTCAAATCAGAGAAAGACAATTTAAAAGGAGCGAGTAACAAAACTAATACTACTCGTAAAGGAAAAAGTAAGAGCAAAGAGGAAGTGCCTTTTGGCGGAGGGAGACGATAGGGTTACCGGCGGCGTCGACGAGTAGACGACGGTCATGGAGGCTGAAAACGGAGCCCTTGACTTTGAACATGATGTTGCCGTTAACGTCGGAGACGGTGAAGGAGCCCTCGGCAAGGGTCATCAGCTTCTTCGCAATGATCAAGTCCACCGGGTACGGCGCGCAGAACTGCGGGCCCACCACGGCGATCGGATTCCCTGTCGGAGGACCGCTTGGTGTCGCGTACGCCATTTTCGCCGATCACGCAAAAACGGTGGGAGTTTTTTGGTGTAGTTTGATCTGGTTTTCGGCTTGGACTTCGGAGATTTCTTCAGGTGATATTCAAGCGAATTTCTTAAGATTCTTTTTGATCTGAGAATTTCTTTAAGATTTTTATTTTTGTTTGTTAGGAAGTAGCAACGCGGGGCGGATGACAGTTGCGACACGGGACCGTGTAGAGTAATTACTAGTTTGACACAGCAATCTGCGAGAATTTCCGTGTTTGCTTTAAGGCTTTTTCTATGGTCCTTACCTTTTTTAACGGGAGAAATTTCTTACTCGTAAAAGATTATAAGAGTAAGTTTAGTTCATAAATTAAAATTATGTTATTAAAATTATTTTTAATTTATATGTATGTTTTATAAAAAAAAATATTATAACACATTATAAATTATAATTTAAATTAAAAAATAAATTTATCTATCAAACATCACCTAAAATTAGTTTTTACTATAAACATAAACTAATTTTGAGAGCTAAAAACAATGCCAAACCCAACCAAGAACCAAGAGAGAGAGAGAGAAAGTGAGTGCTAGTGTAAAAAAAAAAATCACAAAAGGACAAAATAAGGGAACCACGTTTTTTGAATAGTGAAAAGAGAAGAATTTCCCTTTATGATTATTAAGGTCTAGTTCACTTCACGAATTTGAATTTTTAATTTGAGTTGAAATGTAATATTTTTTTAGAATTTTTTACTGTAATAAAAAAAAATTAAATGTGATATTTTTAATAATTTTTTACTATAAAAACTTAGAATTAAAAACTCAAATCGATGAAATAAATATGGCCTAATTAACCACGCGCTTCGCTCAAGTAGGATGCCAATGGGACTGTTTGAAGTGGGATTGTCTTTTTGCCAACCCATCCCGAATAAAAACACTCACTATCTCTACCATATTAATCTGAAAAAGTTGACGTTGTACAGTGGAATGTGAGTTTTTCCATCACAGGTTCGGAATTCTTGCAATGCCTAATTTTTATTCTCATCATTTAAAAAATAATAATTAATTAATACAACTATATACAACTTTATTTAAAAGTAAAAGAAACTGTAGGCTTAAACTTTCATATATATATATATATATATATTATGTATTATATTATAAGTAATATTATATATTGTAACATATATTGTAATATATTTTGCATTGTATAATTACTTTAAAAATAGGATATAATTACACGGGACAGATAAATGAGGAACATGATTGAGAATTTTTAAATTTGCTCATGCTACGCGACCCGTGATGAGTTATAACTTGGAAAATAGTAGAAAATATGTCAATATGAAAAGTTTGAGAAAGTATATAAGTCAATTTTTAGTTATAAAAATTAATATGTCATAACTTGTCAAGTTATGGTTCATAACCAGATAAGTTATGGACGAAAATAGTAATTTGACATATTTATTAACTTATGTAAACTATTGACCTATTAATTTTAATTCATCTCAAATCTTGGCCTATTTTCCTCTTTATCCCTTATAACTTTGACCCATTTCCAATCTGAATCCATTTAAACAAGGTTTTTTTAAAATAAAAAAAAATCATTTAAGGCGAGTTTTCGTGAGTAATTGAGTTTTTGGATAAAATTATTATCTCCAAATGTTTTTGACATCATATAGAAGAGTAGAATAATATTATACATATTTGAGTCATAGAAAAAAAATTATAGATTAAAACGAAATTTGGTATAGAAAAATTATAGAGAATTATTTATACAACTATTGTAATGTTATTGAGTTTATTTCAATTTTTCATCATTTTTGTTAAAGAGAATCTCATTTTGATTTTACACATTGGTAGAAGATGTCTGTTTACTTATACATTAAAACAAGATTTGACTAAAGTAACTTGAAAAAAAATTAAAATCCTTCTCAAATATTTTTCTGCAAACTAAATATCAATAAGCAAATACGTTCATCTAACAAGCTATATATACAATATATAAGGTGGAAAGAGGAAAGAAGATGAAATTAGGTAACGTTTGGTTCGGTAGATTGGAGTGAGAATAGGAATAGGAATAGGAATATAATAGAATGAGAATAAAAATAAATCAAATGATTTATTTAAATTCTATTGTTTGGTTGAGTATTAGAATTAAAATTAGAATCACAATTATTATGTTTGTTTAGTCATTAGAATAGAATGAAATAATATAAGTTTTTACTAAAATACCCCTTAATCTTCTTCATTGATGTTTTAAAACTAAATTTAAATATTTTTTATTTTATTTTTTTCTCTCGGTGTTTAAGGTGAATATTTTATTTGATATATAACCAATATTCAAATAATTTTAACTTTGATATATGACTAATTCTTCAAATAACAAACCTAATACAAAAAAATAAAGTAAAAATATTAATTTAAAAACGCGCGTTAGTTAAGGGTATTAATGACTGCATTTTAGAAATTCCCATTTCATCCTATTACTACTCTGCCTCGTCAATCGTCACGATTAATCTCATCAAGAATCACAATGAGTGCTACTATAAGAGCGTAATCGATGACCATGAATTTGTCTTTTCCAAACATAATTTGGTTCTTAATTATTTTTTGTTGATTAGTTCCTAAAATCTTCTTCTTCTTCTTCTTCTTTTTTTCGGGAAGTTTTTTATGCCTAACAATAAATACATTTTTAAAACAGAAATTGCATAAAGTGGTCGTTACCTCTGTTTTTAATTAATTAATTTATTTCTTCTGACATTAATCAATAACTAATATTAAGTAAATAACTGATTGATCAGTTTTAAGAAAATGCCCACTTATTTAATTTAAAAAAGCAATATTTATGAGAAATACTTTAAGAAAGATCATTTATCGTTTTTCCACGTATCAGTTTTCAAAATTTAAGGGAAGTAGAATAATGAATAGTCTCATAAAAATATGAAATTTTATTTTAAAACTTCCATGACTTTCTAATTTTCATGCCATACGTGATGAGTATATGTCATCTTCATCAAATTTTAAAATTTATCATCACTTGTATGACGAAAACTAAAAAAAAAAAAAAAAAAAAAAAAGGTGTAACATCCAATCGGTAAAACTAAAATAAAAGAAATAATTACACTAGATAGTAAATTTACAAAGTGAAGTTGAAATATTACAAATTTACAAGCAATCTATATACTAGATAGCAAATGATAGTCAATCCCAAAATAAAAATTGTTTCACTGGCAAAAGAAAACAAAAACAAAAAAACAAGAATCGTAGAGAAATAATAAAAAAAAAAGCCATGGTAACTATGGAGATCCAAAGTTACTAATTAACAAATGTATAGGAATTAATAGTTTGGTATAGATCCCTCTAAAAAAAAATAAAAGTCTTAAAAGTCAGATTTCTTACTTGGACAATGATGGTTGAAGATTCTCCAGAGCATAGATGACACATAACCGTTCTAACTTGTAACCAACTTTCTTTGACCTTGAAGTCACAGACTTTTTCTTTTTTGTTATTTGCTAAGAACACGTGAAGTTTAGTCTTGTATTGGATCAAAGAAGATCGTTCAACGCTGAAAACAATTGAAGATTGATCCAGTCTAATTCGGATGAAAAATACGCCCCAGTCTTAAATTTAAATTATAATTCAACATGTTTACTATAATATTTTTCACTTTCTTTCATAAAAATTTAAATTTCAATATAAGTTTTTCACTCAAAACAAAAGTGCTAAACGCGTTTTTATATAATTTCTAGGCAATTCAACATGTTTATTACAATGTTTTTCACTTTCTTTCATAAAAATTTAAATTTCAATATAAATTTTTCACTCAAAACAAAAGTGCTAAACGCGTTTTTATATAATTTCTAGGAAATAAAAAATATATTTATATGAAAGTAATATAGCATGTACTAGCATTACAAAAATAGACTTATATGTTCACTGGACTGGATATTATGATCAACTGATTTTTTTTATTTCAATAAATTCTTCATTATATCAATCGCGATGTTGATATATATATATTTGTGTTGTTTTTGTTGTGGTTGAATAAAAATTGGCATTTTTCAAAATAAGAAGAAAACTAAAAACAGTACTTTATCTAGCTAGAAACTTGTCATATTAGTTGAAGAACAAAATTGATCAGTGCTAATTATTGCGTGTTGCAAATAATACTCAAAGTAATCTTTGATTATTATTTTTAATTTATTACGTCGATCTTACACACACACACATATATATAAATACTCTGGTATAATCATGATCATTATGTTTAATTATTAATATTTTAATGAGGAACTTTACCATATAACAAAATTCAAAAGCGACTATAATTTCATGGGATCGCAATCTATGCACGTATCACATATATTATATGTAGAAAGGTTTTGGTATTTATGTCGTTGTAAGTATTACATGATAAACAAAAGTCGTTCGTATGTACACTTGAACCTATAACAAGCAAAAATTTTAATACATACATATATATATATATATGTATATATATATATAATGAAGTAGTAAAGCAAACCTTTCGTCTGAGTCACAATGGGATTCCCCGCGGCATCAAGCAAGACCCGACGGTCACGAAGGCTTAAGAAGGGCTCCTTTCACCTTGAACATAATGTTGCCATTTACGTCGGTGACGGTGAAATTGCCGTCTGTTATGGCCAAGATCTTTCTGGCGATGGCGAGATCGACGGGATAATTAGGAGCGCAGTATTGAGGCCCGATGATGGCCTTCAAGGCTGGCTGCAGGTCATTAGCCACAAATGGAACGCTAGGTTGTGTATATGCCCCCATGACAAAATCTTGAAAGAATGAGAAGTTATTGAAATAGGGATCTTAAAAGTGGACCAATACGATCACTCGCTATATTAATTAAGAAAAGAAAAATTGACCACCACTTTTATTTTATTTTATTTTATTTTTTTATTACTGTCTTTGTCTCAAAGGTCATTATTTATTAGAGCTTCTAAGGACAATATATTATTTAAATAGTTTGTATTTATCTTATAATTATTTAGTTTCGTTCATTCCTACTATTTAGAGATTAGATTAGTATTAGATTCAAATTCAAACTCCTCATATAAATGGACAAATTTTATAAATTTATCTTAAATTTTGTTATTTGTGTTAACACACCCCTTGAATTTTAAAATGTGCATGTTGTGCCTCCTCAATTTTGTCACTTGTATCAACATGCCCTCTGAGGTTTAACTCTATTAAGTTTTTTAACAGAAATGCTTATAAATGTCCCTTGAACTTTGTCACTTGTGTCAATATGCTCCATAAACTTTAAAATGTACCTATTTTGCCCTTCGAACTATGATATGTCTCTAACTTTTTCTCCTCCATTTTGATTCTATCCGTTTTTTAAACTGAAATGTTGATATGACCATTACATTGCTTATTATCTATGATATTTGAGGTTTATTGAATACCTTCTCCTCTAAAAATGTTAGTTAATGAAGCACAAATTCTCAAAACATTAGTTGATTAGAGGAAATAAATAGGGTAAAAAATGTGGAGCAAATCCGTATAATGTAATTAATTTTGTTATTTTTTTCTTAATATTTCACCTAGATAGAAGTGTTCGATATAAAACATGTTTATGCTTTATACATATGTAGTATTTCTAAATCTAAATGTGTTTAGGTCATTTATTTTATTGGACATTTAAAAAAAATCAACACAAACCTTAAGAAACTCATTAACTTAACAAATTTTAATGGTCAAATATCATGGATAATTAACAATTTAATAGTCATATCAACATTTTTGTTTAAAAAACTGTTAGAACCAAGATTGAGAGAGAAAAGTTAGAGACATATCATACTTCGAGGGGCAAAACATGTACATTTTAAAATTCAAGGGACATAATGACACAAGTGACAAAATTCATGGTGTGTTTATATGCATTTTTGTTAAAACACTTAATGGAGTTAACCTCAGAGAGCATGTTGATACAAGTGACAAAATTCAGGGGACACAACATGTACATTTTAAAGTTTAAGGGACATGTTGACACAAGTAACAAAGTAAATTTTTTTTTAATACAAGCTGATCATGATAATTGAAATTGGGTAAATTGCACGAATAATCATCAAACTCTTTAAAATGTGACAGTTTGGTCCTCAAATTTTTTTTTATAGATAAAACGAACCCTAAACTATTTAAAAGGGTGCAATATAGTTCTTTCTGTCAAATGCTATTAAAAAATAACGCACAGTGCACGTGAGATATCACGTGACCATGTTTTCAAAATGTGTATAAAATCACGTGTTGGGAGATTTTAGGTACATTTTATCGCGTAGTTCTTTCTGTCAAATGCTATTAAAAAATAACGGCACAGTGCACGTGAGATATCACGTGACCATGTTTTCGAAATGTGTATAAAATCACGTGTTGGGAGATTTTAGGTACATTTTATCGCGCTCTCTCTCCCCGTTCCCTATCTGTATCGTCTCTGTCGTTGGAGAAGGTTCATGAAGATTCCAAAACACATAGGTGTCTATAACATCCAAGTCACCATCTTAGCTTTCTATACAAGACCAGCCCAGACCAGATCTGTACTTGCATGTTTTATCTACAACCCTCAAATCTTTTACATAAAAATCACATTTTGTAAGAAAAACTCAAATGTGTATTGTGTGGTTACTATTTGAACGACATCTGACAAAAAATATTACTCTTTTAAATAGTTTAAAATTTATTTCGTAAAAACAAAATTTAAGATCCAACTGTCACTTTTTAAAAAATTTAAGAACCATTCATCCAATTTACCCATTAAAATTCCAGTTTTCCCTCCAATCAGAGAGACATTACTCTTTCTGTTGTTCAGACAATCATGGACAGCAAGAGACAAGATTGTCTTCAGAGAATGAATGCACTTGCATTTCACAAAACTTTGAGCCTTCAATCCATGATTTTACATTAGACTTTCCTTGTCCAAGCTCTCTCAAAAATGGTCATACGACCCTTTTCTCTGACCAACAAATTCCTCAGAAAACACAGAGAGTTCCCAATTTCGCCTTACAAAACCAAATGGCACGAAACCTTCAACCAAACCCAAGCACTGCAAACCCTAAAACGACACCAGAATGAGAATCCCAATCGTCTTCTCTCTCTTCTCCTCAATTCCTTCAATTCTTACGACTGTAATCCCACACCCGAAGCCTACCACTTCGTCCTCAAAACCTTAATCAAGACCTCGCAATTCGACCACATCCATTCGGTTCTCGATCGAATCGAATTCGTCGAGAAATTCGAAACCCCAGAGTACTTCTTCGCCCAGATTATCGGATTCTACGGTTTCTTGGATCGAATCGAAGATGCTATTGATATTTTCTGGAGAATTCCCAAGTTCAGGTGTGTTCCTTCTTCGTACTCGCTCAATTCTTTGTTGTACGTGCTTTGTCGGAGAAATGAGGGCTTGAGATTTGTCCCGGAGGTTTTGATTAAGAGCCGGGATATGAATATCAGGCTCGAAGAAGCGAGTTTTCGGATATTGATTACTGCTTTGTGTAAAATTGGAAAAGTGGGTTATGCTATCGAGATTCTTGATTGTATGATTAGTGATGGGTATGATATAGATGCGAGGATTTGTTCTTTGATATTGTCATTTTTGTGTGGTAAAAACAAGGAATTAGATTTAGCTGGTTTTGATGTTTTGGAATTGTTGCAAAAAATGGAGAAAATGGGGTTTTGTCCCCGTATGGGGGATTATTCAAAAGTTATTAGGATTTTGGTGAGGGAAAAAAGAGGTTTGGAGGCTTTGGATATTTTGGGTCAGATGAAAGCTGATGGAATGAAGCCTGATGTTGTATGTTATACCATGGTTTTACATGGGATTGTTGCCGAAGGTGAATACAGTAAGGCAGATGAGATGTTCGATGAAATGCTTGTGTTGGGTTTGGTTCCAGATGTTTATACTTACAATGCATATATAAATGGCTTGTGCAAGCAAAATGACGTGGATGGAGCTCTCGATACGATTCTCCGGATGGAAGAACTGGGGTGCAAGCCTAATTTGATTACCTACAATCTGATTTTGAGGGCGTTGTGTAAGAATGGGGAGTTCGGTCGAGCGAAGGAGCTTGTGGCTGAAATGAGCTTGAAGGGTTTTGAGGACTATTTGCAAACGTATATAATTATGCTTGATGTTCTACTTGGTAAAGGTGAAATTGTTGAGGCGTGTGGCTTGATGGAAGAAATGTTGGATAAGTTATTATGTCGTCGTTGCTCAATGTATGATGAGATCATATTTGGTCTGTGTCGAAGGGGATTGGATTGTAAAGCATCGGAAATGCTGGGGAAGATGGTTGGCAAGAATGTGGCGCCAGGGGCAAGGGCTTGGGACGCATTGCTACTTAGCTCTGGATCCGAACTTACTTTACCAGAGGCCATTTGGTCCAGCCTGGTGAACCCAGTGGAAACTCTCTTATTGTAAGGTTGATAGAATGGAACATTTCCTTTATGCAACAATTTTTTATTATAGGACTCAAGGTTCTAATTGGGAGGCCTGAACATTGAGGCTTGGTGGGCCGTAAAAGAATGAGGCTTGATGGGCTATAAAAGAATGCTAAAATCCAACTTGCAGTTTAATGGACTTTGAAATGACTTTGAGAATGACTAATTCGGACAACTTGAAGGACGGGTTTCCAACTTTCCACCTTTTCTAACAACCATGTGAAAATGAGTAACTTGTCACATTTTTGTTCACTGCTCAAGCATGTGCTCTGTTTCGATCAGCCAAACAAAAATGGAGACACACAGGAGGAACAAATCTCCCGTTACCGATACCGTTGGCATTTGGGAATTTTTTCCCTCTTGGAGCTGTCATTTTAGGAAATAAGGAATGGCACTTGGGTATCAAGGGATGGTTTGATGCGGGCTTTCATGCAGACTCATTGATTCACCATCGCAAATTGTCGCTATAAAGGGTAATCAAGGTTTCTATCTTTGCCTCATGATGAGCTTAAGAAAGCACCACATTTCTCTTTAAGAAGAACATGTTGTTACCCACCACTGTGTTGGATTCCACTATAGCTACCTCCTTTCTTGAGGTCCATATCCTATTAAATTGTTAGGTAACATGAGACAATTTTTCATGCTGTAAACCATACAACCCTATCCCTGAAAATTCCCTCGCTCCTTTTACTCTCATATATGGACCCATCTCTGGTGTTACTTTACTTTATGTTGTTAATTTTTTTCCCCAAAAATCTATTTGATTAGATGATCTGTAATGTTGGTCCTTTAAATACTTTATGTTTTGCATGTTACTCATGTGTGTTGTGTTATGAAAAATAAAATAGGTGACGATGACACACACAGACAGAAGATTGTCTTGGCATATACTCAATTATACTCTAGTGAATTTGCTGCAAGAATAAAAGACACTCAGAATTTTATTTTATGAGTTGGTAGGTAGGTAGGAAATTTAAGTAACTATTTTTATTTTAGTTGAACTCAATAGACTTTGAGTATGATAAGGGAGAGATTCCTCATGTTATAAGGTGGTGCAACCATAAAATTTCAAAATTTTGTGGTGGGAGTGAACTGCAAAATTAATCACATTTCACATATAAACTTAAAAGAAAGAAAAAAAAATCAGGTGGGGCAACCCGCTACCTACGACTGCATGTGGCTCCATCTCTGCCTATGGAATCATTTTTTTTTTTTTTTTTTTTCATAGTGGCCAAATAATTTTTCCATTATTTGTAGAATACAGCACCCTGACTTGTAAATTATATTCTGAAGAATCAGAAACTTTTTAATGCTCGTCTACAAGTGGTCCTTCCTTTGATGCAATAAACAGCCTCTGCTGTCTACTTTCCACAAGTTCAGTTTATATTACAGATCACTATACATCTTAACTGCTCAAAATCCTGAGAAAACAGCAAATTGCTGTTATGGAACTATTACTAGTCGGCCTCATTTTTAAACATAAATACACAATAACAGACAACTTAAATTCAGGATGCCATGCTTCTTTTTTTTTTTTTTTGCCCTTTCCTTTGTTGTCTTTGTTAGTGGGGCGGGGGGCAATAACAGACAACTTAATTCAGGATGCCATACTTCTTTCTTTCTTTCTTTCTTTTTTTTTTTTTTTTTTTTTTTTTTTTTTTTTTTTTTTCCCTTTGTTGTCTTTGTTAGTGGGGGCGGGGGCTGGGGACCATTTTCCAAGATTTCCTTGTTCAGTTTGGCGTTGAGAAGATGTGTGCTTCTTAATTATTTGTCATATATTTCGCTTCTTCTTGTCTTTCTCATTTGAAAATGGAATCAATTAATTTCATTTCCTCATTGTGTCGGTGACAGCAAAGGTCGTGTCTCAATTTCTCATTAATGTATAAAAACTTTCACGTCCAAAGATCTCCTCTAATGGCAAATACAAAGTAATGTTAAGGTGGCTTAATCGAGACTTGAATTGTTTTCTAGCGTTTTATCTTGTGTGTGATTAAAACTGATCGTCTTTACTCAAAGAAATAAAATAAGAAAACTGATCAGCGTTATACTTTTTTCAATGAAATCACAGCAGCATCGAAAGATAAGATTGGTTGTTTGTCTTTTCTTCATTGCCTTTTCCTTTTTCCATGAAACTAATTTGTCAGTTTGAATAGGGCTTTTCTGCAGTAAATTTGCAGCTTTGCCCACATAATAATATGAACAATATTTTTTATGAGTGTTGAAAGAACACTAGAGAATCGTGCAGGTGTATTTCTTTTTGTGGATTTTTTTAAAAAATTTTTTAAAGTAAATATTGCAGGTTAAATGTTGTGGTGGGGCAGTGATACTCGGGTCAACTTCAGTCCTAACTACTAAACCAGAATGCTAAAGAACTGTTATGTACTGTACCCCTTTTGTGAAAGCCCTTCATATATACTACTAGCATTAATATTAGAGAGCATTAATCCATGTCCACTCCTATTTTTCCAGGAAAAAAATGCATATTAATAATTACAAGAGAAAGAAGAAAGGAGCTTTCTGTGATTGGAGGTATTTACCAGCGGCATGCGTTTTTTTTCCTTTCTTTTTTATTTTTTTTTTATTTTTATGAATTTGGGATGAGGAGATTGGAACTTCATCTTACAGTGAAGTCAGGTTTAGAATTACGGTCTTCAGCATTTCTTTTAGCGAAATCTGTAAAATTGTTTTCTTTTTTTGGTTGGGGTGAGAAGAAAATTACCGTTTGTAGTGAAAGGACATGTTGTATCCAGTGTCACACATACGTGGGTGAGAAGGAAGTGCCGTTTACCTAGCAATGGAATAGAGACAACAGTTGGGAGTTATAGTCATGTACTATCTCCTGATCAGAGGTGGTACCAATCGTCTCTTTTATGATGGGAGGTGGTACCATTTCATGGTAACGTTGTTGTTGATCATCTGTACTCAGTCAGTCATAACTCTTCTGCAAAACCATGCCTTGGTTTTCTCGACACGTACACCTCCCCACTTATAGTTGCTTTCAAGCTGAGAAGATTCTTCAACTTCAACCCATATACAAAGTCACAGCAGAAAAAAAAAAAAAAAAGTCATGATGATACTAGTATTATAACATTGAAAAGGAAGAAGATAAAAAAAAAAAAATTGAAAAGGACAAATAATAACTAATCTTACTTCACTTAAACTTCGTCGGGCATAGTTTTTGATCGTGTATGTGTGTGTGTGTGTGTGTTTTTTTTTTTTTCGTGTTTTCAGTCATCTCCTTGGGGAGCCAGCAGTCTCAAAGAGCTTTTTATGAATTTTATTTGACACCCAAACTCAAGATGAGATTATTAAACAAATACACACAAAATATATTGATAATATAAATACGACACACATTATGAGAGAGAGAGAGAGAGAGAGAGAGAGAGAGAGAGAGAGAGATGGTGAGACTCAGACATCTCATTATGAGTTCTTGCTTTACATGTCAAGATTGGTAAAAGTTATTATACTTTTTAAAGATAAAGTTCTCTGAAACGAAATTTATCATTTTGTTTACATGGTACACATGATATCGAGAGAGAGAGGGAGAGAGAGAGAGATCAGTGTGTCGATGGTTTATGTTACTAAATGGTACACATGTTTTAGTAAACTCCAAAACGTTCATACGAAATGTGAATTTGCTGGTTTCTGCAAATGAGTAAAGCTACAATATACAATATTATTTTTACAAAATATCAATCAACATATGTTAAATTCTGAATAGAAAAGATTAAGACAAAACAACACACAAACACACGTACTAATTATATATTAAATGACTCCTAGAAGTAGTAGAATTAATTCTTCATGCATTATCTTATGTCTACTGAGTCAAAACAAGTTAGAGAGAGAAAGATAGATAGATAGAGAGAGAGAGAGAGAGAGAGTGCCTGGAGTAGAGGAATCAAAGTTAACGGCTGGATATGATCGTACGGACCTCATGATGATCATGTTACAGATACTGTTGATCAGATCATGTTGTGTATTTGAAGACGACACGTACAGTACAAGATCAGATAACAAATGATCAACTGCAAACCATGCCGTTAAGTAGTGTTGAAAAGTAGTCCTATAAACTCTGTTTTGACAAGTACTGCGTTTAATTTTCTTAATCGTTATCCCTTTCCAATTAATAAGAATATATCCTAGTACTTCATAAATCTCCATGACGATTATGTAATGATAAAAATGTTCCGATATTATCCTGGCCAAAATTTGGAGATTTAGGAGTAGAATCAGAAAACACATAATTGTAATACATACATATGAAAGATTTTTCCTACGAAAATTACAGGAAATAGACATATTAAGGGGAAAAAAAAAAGTTTTCTGTGATTATGGATAGTGATGAAGATAAAAAGAAGAAAAAAAGTTACCCCACCTGAAAACGAAGCTTCACCATTCTTGATGTGAATTGTCTCCATGCAATAAACTCTCAATCGACAAGATCGCTTAGCAAGATCTCTCTTTGCATATTAATCAAGGGTGAGAGATGTAGTTGGTCATGATGGCGAAGACGGGCACATGAAAAACTAACTCACTACTACTGGAAATTAACAAAATAAACTAATATAACTTTTTTTGTTTTGTTTTGTTTTGTTTTTTTGTTTTGTTTCTTTTTGAAGAAGAAGAACTATATTAAGAAGAAAACCAAGAGATCAACTAAAGTTTCAGTTGGTAAAGTTTTTCGGGTGTTTTAGCTCGCACCCATTTTCGTTCACACATCAGAGAGGAGAAAAAGAGAGAGAAAGGAAAATTGAGAATGGTTATTAGAGTTAGTAATGCACGTGCCCTGCTTCTCCATCTTGCTCAACGCACATCTTGTCTTCTCTCCAAATTGCCACAAATATTTGGGAAATATTGTTATAGCTAAAACCCCAAACCAAAAACAAGAAGGTATATATGTCTAGAGCTCATAAGGCTAGAGTTTTAGGGGGAGATGAGAAGAGAAGGGTTTTAATAGGGAGAATTTGGGACATCAATTCTTGAATTCTTTGACCTCATAGCCCACTCATTTATAACGAAAGAGGCAAATGGAGAGGTGATGATGAATTCTTTGGGTATGGAAGAAAAGGGAAATCAAAGGGAGGGCTTAGTTGGGTAGGGACCCCATGAATTCGCAATCCAAACAACTTGTCACACCTAGCAATAATATTGGACCACACATGGCTCCAAAATAATTAATTAACCAACCCTTTGTTGGGTTAAAAAAAAAAAAAAAAAAGTAGAATTGTAAGTCGTTCAATTCCAACTGAACAGTCTTGAGCCAGTGAGTGATTATTATATATTGGCTTTTTAAGATGCACTATTTGCTTGTGATATATGTTTGTAAGGTTCCTGTTTGCAAGTGACATTTTTCTTATTACTTTCCACTTAGAAAGGACTTATAGAATATATCGAGTAAAGTAATTTTATCTTGTACAATCAAAGTTCTATAAGTACCATTTATCAAACTAAGACCAATAGTTAGCTCTTTTACGGCACTATTAGCTAAGGATCCATTTTAGAGCAATGAAACCCTAAATAAGTCACATATGTCGCCAACTAGCATTAATGACTTGGGTAGTATTTTATCACTATTGGATATAGCATTTCGGTATAGGTAGGTGGATTCATTCTAAATACTAGTAACTGCTAATAGTTGGATAAAGTAAATTAGTAAAATTTCTTTAGTTTTTATTATTTATTTATTTTACTTCAATATGCAAAAGTAATTTTTGCTGGAAAAAGGTACAATTAGATGTTTCTTTTATTCATAGGTGACTATATTTTTAAACTTTGGTTTTTTTTTTTTTAACTATATCAACATATTTTTTCCTATTTTTTCAATATATATATATATATGAGTGTGGTTTTAATGGTTACCCGAATATTTATC